TTATTAATACATGTTACCCATTCAATTCAACTTGCAAAGCCAATTTCAAGTCAATATTTTGAAACTGCTTATTCTCACATAGTACTGTGCAATCAAGATCTTTGGTTAGTTTATCAAGATATTAAAAACCTTGATATCTATTGTCAACAATTATAATTAAGTCAAACAGAAATTATCTAAATATATTAATGAGTTCGACGTGTACCTCTTTCTATTTTAGCAATACATTCATTCAGATGTTTATTTGCACATTCGATGGTATTTTCACGGATAATCACCAAGGAGTTGCATACAGTGCAATAAATATTAAATAAACGTCTCCCAGCTTAAAATTCCCCCATATATATATTCTCTTTCAATTATTTGAATAAATCCATTCTTGGAGAAGTATTTTGGGTTATATTCAAGAAGTTTCTTAAATGGATAAGAACACGAGAACACCACATTTCTGGTGTTTCACCACTATACTACAGGATTTAAACCATCATAGTGGTTATTTTTAACCATTTTCATAGTTTATAACTGATCTTAGTGTTTTAGCGAATTATAGCAATTTATATCAGTTTGTAACAAGTATGTTATAATAATATCAGATTCATTTTTATTTTTGATTACAAGAATATCAGGATTTATATAGGGTTATCTCTTGGTTACTGCAGTACTGTATGCATGTAAATTGGCTCTCGTGATTAACAGGGGATTTTTCCTGACATCATGATCCTAGGAAATAAATTTTTTTTTACAAACGAAAATAATAATGATATAAAAACTACATAAAGCTAAACAATTATCTTATATTAACTATGATTACGAATATTGCCTCCACTTTAAAAGATCCTGTAAAGATTTAGAGATCTTTAGAACATCCCGAACCGTATCTCCTTCATCATAGTTAATGTTAAAATCAAGTTCTTGCATTAAAGAAAGCTGTTTCATAAACTCGTCCTGGAAAAAAGTCTCTTAAGTGATACAGGAAAATTGAGAAATACACCTGCATAATTACTTACGTGAAAGAGAACCATGAGATAAAGAACTGCTTTGTATTTTGATCTCCCTTCGAATGAGAAAGGAATTATAGCAGAAGCTAGTTCGGATGCCAAAAAGGAACCATCATCTGTTATGCTAAGAGAATATAGCGTGATTCGATATCCTAACAACCAAGTACAATACAGATCAATAACTCGAAGTTCTCATTTTTAAAATAAAAAGAACACCTACCAATAGCTTGTAAACTGAACACCTTTATATTCATCGCAGTCTTTACAGAAATATCCAAGTGATCGAGAAAAAGTGCAACCAAATTTAAGATGTCACTATGCAATGACTTCTTTGTGTCGCCAACTGCATGATCTGTTGTTGGTGATGATGGTGGACCAGCAACCTCCATATGCCATATTTCTTTACCGTCAAACGATCGGACCCCTTTCGGTATTTAAGAGGCCATTGTTATATAAATATTTATTATACAGTAAATGAAATTATTAAAAAACATTTTACCCTTCGCATCCAACTTAACAATTCCAGAGCTAGCGGATGATTTCGTCAATTTCGCCGATAGGGAGTGAGATTCAATCCAGTCGATGGATATATTTCCGAATGTTGTCTCATAGAATTTAAAAAGTGAAGACAGATTTTGTACGATATACTTTCTCTCTCCAATTTTTCTTGAGAGGGTTGGGAAAACATCTACCAGGTTGTAACTAGAGCAAAAAGTAAGAATAAGCGTTTATTCATTGTAGGTAACAATAAGTGACAAAGACTTACAAATCCATCAATATCTTTTCACAATATAGGCGGAGCTTGTTCTCATCATCCCCCTCAATCTTTAGCATAATAGCCTCCTTGAAAGCTTCTCTCGACTTCTAGAAAATGAGTAGAAAGACGTCAAATATGTTCTAATCTGCCACTAATTAATATCCATGAGAGCTTACCTTCAAAGCATTTTCAAGATAGCTCTCAATTTTGGTCCACATAGGCGGTGTCTGAACATGAACTCGGTTATACTTCAAAGTCTGTCCCATTGCATCAAGATAACTAACATATAATAATAAAGTAAACAAACCTTTTATAATATATAGTATAATAATAAAAAAAC